AGACTCTTGCCACTTTATTCCTCGGGTTTCGTGGACAAGAACACAACGTTGTTCCAGGAAGATGGAGCACGGTGTCACACTGCTAGAAACACCAAAAAGTGGCAGGAAGAAAATGGTATCCAGAAGTTGCCCTGGCCGTGTCAATCTCCTGGCATGAACCCCATCGAAAACCTATGGGCCATACTCGACCGGCAAGTCAAGAAACAACAACAACAAAAAAAAACAACTTCGAAGAGCGATCTACTCCAAGTTTTGAAGCAAGAGTGGGCGAAAATCCCACAATATAAAATTGACGAGAGGATTCTCACGATGCCCCAAAGGATCAACGAACTCCATGGAGCGAAAGGAAGATCTACTAAATATGGTACACAGCGTGGTCACAAGTAAATAGACACCACCTTTTCAGAAAAAATAAAATTTTCAGTCATATTCACATGAATTGATATATTTATAATTTAATTTTTCATACAATGTATGTTTAACAGATGATGGTTCTTTGGAAATAAAACGCATTCCATTTGTTATTGTTATTATCACTTATTAGTACTGATAACCGTATTTTCCCTGGTGATAATATTTTATCTTCTTCCCCTGCTTATTAATAAAGGTCCTGCAAGCGATGCTGAGTTGTTTCCTTAGTTTTCGCTTCTTCACAGTACACCCTTCTAATTTTACTCCATTCCTCCTGTAAAGTCTTAAGGTAGCACTACCCCTAAAACTTGGCAAATTTATATGCCGAGGAAGTATGTTAAATGCACACATTTACTAAAAGCTTACTGACATTTGAGTGCAGAAAAACTTTAACAGCTATTTTCTCAAAACGCAGTTTTCATTGGAGTCACCAATTTATTAGCGTGATAACTTCATCATTAAAGCCAATATCAGCATGAAATTTAGCATACTTGTTGCTATTAAATTCTCCAAAGCTTGAATTTTTTATTAAAAACTCTTTACCAATTGCTTTGTTATGAGACTAATTACCACTAACGAAGGTACTAATTAAAATTAATTGCCCATAGCTCGTGAACGTTGCAGAAAGTTTGCAAAGTTCTTATTTCAAGCTATACGGATTTTCACAAAGATCATTGTAGCAATTTTCACATGCTTTTAACATTTCCAAGTAAAGTTATGGTGTTGAAACAGTTTATGTGATGTATTTCTTTATCCCTGCCTTATCAATTATGTATATGACATAAATACGTCTGAAAATGTACTTTCAATATTTCGTCAACACATTTTCATTTTGTGCTCAACTTGAAGGTTATAAGAAGTGTTTAACAGTGTTTCCTCAGTATGTAAAGCTGCCCAGTTTTAAGGGTTAAAGCTACCTTAAGTCTATGGCTTCATTGCTTAAGCTAATGACATAAAAATTCATTGGAGCTGCACTGCTGGACTTAATGGAAATATGGCCGAAGAGGATTATTGTGATTACACTTTATTTGGTCATTTTTTTGTTTTAATTTTAAGGTGTAGTTGGAAGATTTTAGCTTGCGAGTCTTTGTCAACTTCAAATAATTTATTATTACATTGTTATCAGTACCAAGAAACGTCTCCAACTTCATCGCAATGACTTTTTGTGTCAAAGGTTCTGTTTCATAACCATAAACGTTTCTTTGTAGATGATGGTATTAGTTTTAATTAGCTTTGGGTGTGGTTTCAGAGCCCATTGTTACCCTAAGCTTTCCACTGTGCGAGTTTTTCCCGCTTCTCTTGAGATCATTAAAGATTACCTTCTTCGAAATGGTGCGTCATTTGGCTCTACGTCATTAAACAATACTTGGACAAGTATTGTCAAGATTTAATTCTACATACGGTCCAGATGTTTGTATATTACATGACCATAATTCTAGATCCTTAATATTTGCGAAAAAATTGTAACTAATTTGAATAAATTTTCAAAATCTGCAAATCACCCTCTGTAAATAGTGTAAACAATGTCATGAAATATTACTGATAAGTTGGTACTAAATGTGAAAAGTTTATCAGTAATTAGTACCTTTAGGTAGGGTTATTTTTGTATTAATATTATATACAGAAAGTTGTGTATGTTATATTAAAATTATTTTAAAAATGCAGAAAGTCGCGACAACTACAGCCGATTTAAAATTACATGTATCAGAAATACATTTTTACATAGTTTGGAGTTACATAGATAGTACAATACTATCTAAAACTCATTACTTTTGGAAAGGATATATAATAATCCTATCTTTTGCAAAATATTCAAACACTCAGATCATAAACTGTGTTCAGTTAGTGGATTTAGAATTTCCAATATAGGGTTATCCCCTTTTACCTTGCACCGAGTGCCACAGCGGTATGTCTACGGACTTACAACGCTAGAATCCGGGTTTCGATACCCGTGGTGGGCAGAGCACAGATAGACACACAATCCCTTTTACCTTAATGGAATTGGAAAACAAATGAATATGGATCAATTTGGAGAAGCAAGACCAACCAGAAAAAGACTGCAACAAGTCGTAGATATATTACGACCGCTGTAAGCGTAGTGCGACTTATTTTATAGATGAGAATCCAAGAACACAGTGGTAAAAACCGTTCATGTGTGCCAGGCAACAGTATGCAACATAATCAAGAAGGATCTACGTCTGTAAAAGCTACACAAATCACATTAACACAAATTGTTTCCACAACATACCTATTCTATCATCGCATATCTCAAGCAACTAGAGAATGAAATGTGTATTAATGTTATTCAGTACAAAGACATGACATTCAAGTCCCTGGATTAGGTGTGTGTGGTTTTCTGTGTGATCAGACTATTGAAACGGGCGTTGGGAAACCATAGTCCTCGTAAATTACATGCATTATTGAAAACATGCAGTGAAGAATGGTATGCTATGGACATTACAGCCTTACGAAAGAACCTTTTGCAATGGAAACTACGTTGCAGGGTTACTTTCAAGATGCGTGAACGTCAAATAGAGCATGACTGGACGTGGCAACATAAATTGTAACGGTGGGTGAGGCTCCAAAATAGTTTTTATAAAACGTACTCAACCTCTGTTTGATAATATTCTGAATTCTAAAGATTGTCAACAAAAAATTTTAATTTGTTTGTTTGTAATTAAGCACAAAGCTACACAATGGGCTATCTGTGCTCTTCCTACCACGGGTATCGAATCCCGGATTCTAGCGTTGTAAGTCCGCAGACATACCGCTGTGCCACTAAGGGGGCAAAAAGTTTAATAATAGACTATTCTTTATAGGTGTGAAATTTAACTTTATTCTCATAGAACTTTCTTCCTTTACAGATATTTTACGTACACTAGAAGAATAAACATGTCTTTTCTTTTCTTTCTTCTATATTAAATGTGAATTTGCAATCGATTCAAACTAAACACTATGGTAAAGGTATCTTTGGTATCCATACCAACCGAAAGTAAATGGATTATTCTCAAAGCAGAAAGCAGAGTTGTTTTATCACAAAGCTGCACAATAGGTTACCTGCGCCTGATCCTTCGTAAGGATTAAAGCCGGAATTTTAGCATTATGACCCTTCAAGCTTACCACTGAGCAATCAAGAAACAAGTAGGTGAGGCTATTAATTTACTGTTTCTTATCCTGTGAAACTTTAAGAACTTTACATTATCTTTCTTTTGAGGGACCTTCAGCCATTTCTATATTTTTCAAGTTAATTGTTATATGTATTTATATTTCGAAATATTATGTATCTGTTAAAAATAATATGCAATTTACTTACATATATTTGCCAAATAATAGTAATAGGCCTAACACGTCTATCGCGATATACTATTATACTGAAATTGGAACTTTCAACCGGAATGGCACCTAAGCTAAACAGCCCTGTCAGTGACGCAGATCCATGAACTTACACCATCCTCCCCCAATGAAATTCAAAGTTAACCAAACTTGGCACTATTTAGCGCGGATTTTGTACTATTTTGCGCCTCAAAATTTTGTAATTTGTGCTGAAATACAATTAGACTTATGGATCAATATTTGTAAAAGGGGTGGCCTCACGTCAGCTCCCACCACCACCAACAACTTTAAAGTTAACCAGATTTGGCACATATTTAGTGCTAATATTGTGCTGCAAATTTTAGAACTTATGTTGTATTACAGCAATCTCTTTGGAGTGATAACTTCACGACAGCTCCCCAACACTAACTTTCATCAATATGAAACTTAGGAAATATTTAGTGCTGTTTCTGTGCCACAAATTCCAGAAATTATGCTACAATTTCTCTATACTTATGGGACAATCTATGGGGAGGAGAAATAACTTCATGCCAGCCCCTCAGTGACTTTGATCCATACGAAACTTTGACTACATATAATGCTGATTTTGTGCTTTGTTGTGCTAAGAATTCCAAAATGTGTGCTAAACTACAACTAGACTTATGGCACAATCTTTGTTGGGGATAACTTTGTTTGTTTGTTTTGAATATAAGCACAAAGCTACACAATGAGCTATCTGTGCTCTGCCCACCACAGGTATCGAAACCGGGTTTTTAGCGATGTAAGCCCGTAGACATACCGCTGTGCCTCTGGGGGGGGGG